AATTGTATAAGTGGAAATTGCATGTTTCTAATTGCGAACCGCAGGCATGACTAATGTTACCGTAGGGATACCAAAAGTCGCTCAAAAATTAAAGAAAATGTGTTAGATTGGCACCCAGTTATTGATTATCTGATATATAAATAAGAGGAAGACATTAAGTTGATACAAACACACGGGCTTACGACTAAGCCGGTCGAAACGCTTGCGATAGTTAAGATGGGGGAAATTAAGACGTTTAATGAATAACGTACAGTATACTCTCGATTTTACACGAGGAACTTCAGGGAAGGTATAATCAATTATGTACAACCAAGGAGGTGTCCACTATAATTTGTTTTTTTGATTTTTCACAATAATGCAACCGGGAGTATTCATGAAGTTTAATGAAATAATGAGTTGTGCTTGTGTTCTTCACTTGCTGCGCTAGTTAAATGGTCTGACTGTGTTATAACTACAATGCAATAACGCATATTCACAAATATGAAACTAATAATGGAGTAGAACATTTCTACCCAGAAACCGACTAATTTTTATTATTATACGCAGGCTCCTGTGGCCCTTTTTCTTGTGTTCGACATGCTTCTGGTTGATGGATTTTCTTGGCCGACCAGCGAATGATGGAAAATTCTCAGTTACAACTGATCTGCATAACATTTCTTTTCCTCAAATCTAGATTTCCACGTGAATGAAAGGAGAAGGAGATGTGTTGTATTGGATTCCAAGAATGAGGCACTTCCGTTGAAACTTTTATTTAGTGACTTGGTTCGGGAGCGTAACCGGCGGACCATGTGCGTGTTGCTGGAAAGTTCACTAAGCGCATTCATCGCATCAACTTTTTAACTGCTAGGTAACTTGGATGAGAAAAAGAAGGCTGAACTTTCTTAAATACAGTTAGGTTGCAAATTTAGAATTAGTAAATATTATAAGGCAATACTCCGAATGGGTATGCCGTATATTTTGTACCTACAAAAGTTTAACCAATGCTGAAAGTCACAGAAAGCGTACCAACTTCATTTTTGCCAAATGTAAGTGAATCGTCATTGCCGATTAAATAAATAAATAACTAAATTGTATATGGCTTGACGACGCGAGAAGCCGTTCCCAGAAGGGACGGCTCAAATAATGGTACAGCAGTTTCATATCATGGTATAGTAACTTTTTAAAAAAATGTGAGCACAAAATGAAAATTTGTGTAGCGTGAAGCGGTCCAAAATATTTACATTCCTCTTGTTCTATCGTCTGAAAGTTTTAGCAGTCCATGAGAGTTGATTGCACACGAAAAAAGAGAGAATAAAGTGCTGCGGGCCAACAAAAATTAACCACTTGTGCACTTGACCACATGCATTTTCAGGCACCATTAACTCCGTTCTCAAAAGCGTTATCTAAGGACTGTGCTGTTCGAAACATTATTATCACATTTTGAACGGTTAAATGATCTTTTATCGAAAGCTTAAACAAACGCAATGTGCAACAAGTTCTGATAGCTCTTGGAAGTTTGTTCCAAAGCTTTGAGCAGTGTACTAAGAAGTAACGCTCCCTAATTCGCGTATTGAACTCTGGAATCATGACCGTTGTCTCCTTAGTTCGTAGCTCGTATCTAGTGTTAACGGACATTTGGGCACAGTTAACGGAACTGTGCATGTGATGGTGAATTATTCTGTACAGGAAACACAAGTTCCTCTTCAGTATCGGTAGCCAAATTGGGTCAAGTCTAAGTTTTTCACTGCGCTCTCTGTAGGTCATCTTGGAGGAATATCCGCACAGCTTCTCTGTAAAGCGTCGCTGTACCCTCTGAAGAGCATGCTGGTCAGGTTTCCGCAGATTCGACTGTAGTAGTGAGCAATATTCCATGCCAGGTAACACATATGTTTTGTAAAGCCAGATACGAGATTCTGTGAGTTGAAATTTATGACAGATATAGCCAATAGTCTTCATGGCTTTCGAAACTTGGAAGTCACAATGTTCCGAAAAGTTGAAGGTAGTGGAATACGGCACACCTAAGTCGCGAATCACTTTGCACTGTGATATAAACGTGCCTTGTAATAATAGACTGCTGTTTAGTTAATCTCACCCGTTAAAAGAAAGGGTCAACAATGACACAAATTATTTTTGGTCAGTATGTACCTTGCGAGTCGACAGAGACTTCATTGCCATATAGCTAGACCAGATAATATCAGGACCCGCTACCTTTGTGTATGTGTAGATTTGAGTTAGATAAGGCCCAAAGTGGTTCGTTATCTCATTTTAACATTGTCGCAATGAATTTATTTGCTAGCTCCTTGCTATCAAAGCATACTAATAAGCAGCTACCGCTTCTTTTGCAAAACCGCTTAGGAAAGTAAGTGCCGGGTGACATGTTGCATAAAAGTAACATGATACGCAGTGTTTTCGGGTGGGCAACACCCAGTTTCCATCTACTTTGCTACGCTTTACTTTTTTAAGCATTGAAGGGCGGGTAGGGTGCAGATTATTGTATCCATGGAGCGACGAATGCGCTGGTCAATTTCTGTCGTTATGACGCCCAGAAGAAAGTCATCAACTATGTTATTTATATCGGTGGAGGTATGGACACAAAGCGATTGAGTAAATAAAACGATTGATTAAACAATGCAGTTTTTATCATTGTTGCAGTAACTCTTGCTATTTCTTTTTATCGCACTTAGCTGACATTGTATCGCATTAATCTTGGTAAGTTCTTCTGCAAGTTCGTTTGACAGTATGTCACTGCACTTCCGTAGTTGAAGGTAATTATGCCATCACGTTAACGAAGGAAATATGATTGGCTGCGATAGTACTGTCGCTGCGCGGTCCTACATCCTACGGTGATTCGTTCCTTTTTACGTCCATGATCATTTGGGCCAGTCGCCTTGGCTTCGGATCCGTATTTTAGGTTACGATAACATGGCAGGTTTGAAAGGTGTTTTTGCAGTAAATACACGGAACAAGTAGATGAACAACTATGAGTTGCTGAATGGAGATATGCTTGAATAATCCAACACATTTCTATGTTGGAAGGGAAATGCCAGCAACCTGTTGGCTAAAGTAAAGTGCCCGTAGTTTTAGTAGTTGGTAGCACGGTCCAACTTACACGGTCCAATTTACACGACTTTTACCAAACTAAGAAACCCAAAAGCTAAGGCTGTTTCGCCTCATCGTCGAAAGTTTGTTTAGTGGTAGCGCATAGCCGCGTGCCACACCTCGTCGATAAGTCGAGTTGAAACCCCTGTGCCACAGTCTCGTTAATCTGCTTTATTAGGTATGGCTTCGACCCATCAGGTAAAATGGTCATTTATCACCACGGTCTTTATGCTACTTTTAGTGTGAGCGGCACTAGTCCAAATACTACCAGACCGCAGCGTTGCACCGCTGATTTCACTCAAGTCGAGCGTACTGGTAACCTTGGCGACTCCATCACACGGACAATGTAACAGTTTGGACAGCCGCGTGTATTTGCCGCTCTACTCCTTCTCATAGTTAGACAAACGAACATATACCGCACCAAGTAAAAACCTTCAAGAGTCCGTGTGCGCGCTCTCATGAGCCATGTGAATAACCTGTTTCAGCTGACATTGTGAGGTGTAAGTTGGCTTTATTCCGTTTGTCGCCAAAGCAAATAACGATTTACTGCGCATAGTTTGACATAGTCCCTGACGTGTTTCTTCGTCTCTTGTGCCACTGTATACCTGCTTCAAGTGAGCTCCGAAATATTTGACAGAGAGGTAGAAATGAACTCCGCCACCTCTTTGAGGAACAAGAGATGTAAGCCATCGAGACCTGGTGAATAATTCGAGTTCAATTTAAGGAGCACTTCCAGTACACTGTCAGTGGTAATTTCGCCATACTCTAAAGAAGCGGGGTGACTGGTAGAATCCTCAAGAACTAACGGCGCCTCCGTCGTATACACTGGAATATTGCGAAGCTAGTAGACAAGCTTTCGCCATGTCCTCATGAAGCACGGTGCCGTGTTTGTTTGAATACAGTGCAGGTATACCGTTGCCAACTTTAGTGCTTCTTTGTAGGTATGCGAAAAGCTTTTTCGGATTAATCGCAGATTGCTCGGCCAGATGCTACTCATATAATTCTCGCTTCTCGCACTTTCTCAGCGTGCATAAATTTCTGACCTCTTTGTAATGAGCGTAATATTGATCCCTCTGAGTGAACTGGAATCGGCCCCAAAGTTTTCGCCATCTCAGCATGAGCGATTTGATTTCCTGATCTATCCATGGGGGCTGTTTGGAGCAAGATTGTTTTGTGACCCTTGGAACAACCCCATCCATGATAAACATTATCTTGGAGCACAATAGGTCCTAAGCAGCATCCAGATCCAACTGATGAGGGATATTCTACTCCATGAGGCTAGCAGCCAAGTTTAAGCGGTTGGGGCGGTCGCAAGGAGACTGGACCTTAACGTGGAGCGACGGTTTGCGTACCTCATTGACCTATTGAGCTGCACTGGGTGATGCCTTCGGGCACCTTGAGAGCTACTCTTACCAGGTTAGTCAATGGTGAGAGATCAGACAAACTCAGTCTCCTGGTCCTCCAGGTTTTTGGGTTTGAAATGGGATGAAGTCCATTTCTGTAAAACTAAATCATTGCCACCTCTCCGCTGCCTTGCGGACAGGCTTTTGAGCCAAAGGCTTTGGATGAAGATCCTAATCGTCCTCCCGTCTAGGTCTGGGCGCCCTGAGAGACATTTTCTTCAAACATAAACTTCATCCTGCATCGGCCGTCGCGCAGATTATCAAGGGTCGCCATATCTGCTGCATACAGCAGAGCGGATAAGCGAACACATGCTACTGCTGGCGCCCCCTTCTTCATTTTCCACCTTTTTCTCCTACTCCCATCCAGACCCCCATTACTAACCTTCCTTCTTTAATTCCCAATTTAATTGACAGCAACCGAGGTGCCACTGGAGTAGAACCACTTGCAGCCACCATCCCACAGCACCTATCAGACGCATGTCTGCAAAGGCCCCAATAAGGCCACTCTATCCCGTTTCTATGACGACAATCAACGTTCACACTCTAAGACAAAAAGGTCAACAGGCTGCACTCGCACGCACCTTGGACACACTGGGTATTGATGTGTGTTGTGTGTCCGAAACTAGGAACAGGGACCATAATGGGGTTGTTGAGTTAACTGCACCCGGCTTATCCTCTCGTTATTGGTTGCACGCATCCGGAGACGCCGATGCAGCACTCACGGGTCAAGCTGGTGTAGGTAACATTCTAAGCGCCAAGACTGAACCATCGTTGGTTGATTGGATTCCGGTGAACAGCCATTCATGTGCAGCCCGTTTGACAACAGCAGTTAAGGTTGCTTCACGATGTAAAACAAAGCGCTGTGTGTTCGTGCTTTCCGTTTATGCTCCCACCGACTACAGTCCTAATGCTGTCAAGGATACATTCTATCACGAACTGAACGCGCGACTACGCAGTGCTACTAGTCCAGATATTAGTGTACTTGCAGGGGATATGAACGCACAAGTAGGGCGTCTGAGCTCTTCTGATGCTCAGCTGGGTGGTAATTGTGGGCTTAACTCCAAACGGACTGACAACGGCGAGCGTTTGCTGCTACTGTGCGCCTTGGTACGCTGTCGTTTCTTCATGAACTTTACCGGGAGGCGCACCAAACGTCTCCTCAAATTGGCAACTGAGAAACTGTCTCAGCCCTCGGTCAGGCAAGCTTATCAAGACGCACGGCGTACCGAACTTTCTCTGTCTAGTCCTAATGACACTGAGCTTCAGTGGAATAAGATCACGGCTACCATGCACGGCGCAGGAGCATGTGCTTGTGGTACTATCCATCGTCACCGCACCAGTCACTGGATATCCGAGAGGTCGGTGAACCTGTTGGAATCTAGAAGATACCTTTCGGCTGGCTGTGCACGCAATGTGACCAGACGGGCTGTTAGGCGTAAACTAAAGCAGAGCCTACGTGCTGACAAGGGAGCCTGGTGGAGCAGTCGGGCTCAAGAAATGGAGGAGGCAGGAGCAGTAGGCAATTAACGGAAGCTTTTCCAGCTGATCCGCACCACTGGTCCCAGAAAACCACTCGTCAGCGCGACCATCAGAGACCGCGCAGACGCGCTGAGACACAATAAGGAGCGCCGTATGGCTCGTTGGGCTGAACACTTTGAACATCAGTTCAGCTGGCCCCCTGCTCCCGGACCTATTCCTGTTCAGGTGATGCAGGACGTGCCATGGACGGTTAGTTAAGAGCCTCTGTCGGAGGCCGAGGTCCGAAAAGCGATCACAGTCCTCATTCGATTTTGTGCCGCTGGCCCGGATTCCCTCCCATCTGCACTATTTAAGGATGGAGGTGAGGTCCTCTGCGAAGCACTGACCTCCCTATGCGAACGTATCTGGAAGGAAGTGTGCCCGCTAATTGGAGCGAATCGATTATTGTGGCAATATACAAGAAGGGCAGTCGCACAGACTGTTCTAACCACAGGGGTATTAGCCTAACGTCAGTTGTAACAAAATTATTGGCCCCGATTATCGTTCATCGCCTCACTGCGGAAGGGGAATCTCAGATTAGGGAAGAGCAGGCCGGTTTCCGCCCAGGACATGGCTGTATAAACCACATATGCACTTCGCGGCCGGTTTCTAGAGTAGCGCCACGCATACCGCAGACCGACAATAGCTGTGTTCCTCGATTTCAAGAGTGCGTTCGATTCAGTAGATTGATGCATTCTGTTCGAAATACTTGCGCGGAAAGGTGTTCCCGTGAAATATGTGAACAACCTTCGTGCTCTATACTCGAACACTACAGGCAGCGTCAGGGTCTACAGTGGCCTATCGGATAGCTTTCTGACCACAAGTGGCGCTCGTCAGGGTTGTCCGATTTTTCCATTTTTGTTCAATTTCGTCGTGGATTCTATCATGGAGTGTTCCCTTGCGGAATCTCAAGATGTATGCGTTGAAGTGCTGCCTTGTGAAAGGTTAGTTGATATGGATTATGCGGACCATATCGTCTTGATTTTCGACCATGTTAAGGCGGCACAATCAACCCTGAATAGCCTGTCCAGAGTGGTCCCATTATTTGGTACGCACTTCGCATCTTCAAAGTGCAAAGTGTTGCTGCAGGACCACCAGCCACTTGATGACCGCTTGACGCTTGCTATCGAGGTGGTTGATCAATTCAATTATCTTGGCAGCTGCATCACCAACGATGGGCGCACAGAAACTGATGTCAGCTCAGGTGTTGTAAAAGTCAGAGCTAACTTCTTGAACCTGCGGCATGTTTGGCGACAGAAGGGAATTTCCCTCCGCCTGAAAGGCCGTGTATACATGGCCACAGTGAGGGCCGTTCTGCTTTATGGTAGTGAGACTTGGCCCCTTCGGTCTGAAGATTTGACGCGCCTTCAAGTCTTTGATCATCGTTGTCTGCGAAGCATTGCTGGTGTCGGATGGAACCAGCGTATCCGCAACGATGATGTTCGTAGGCGAATACTAGGTAGTGATAATCATGCCAGCTCCCTGGAACAACAGATAGCATTGAAGAAGTTGCTTTGGCTCGGGCACGTGCTACGTATGCCTGGTCACCGCTTACCTAGGAGGGCCTTGTTCAGTCTACCAGGTGTAGGTTGTCGCAAGACTCGTGGTGGACAGAACTTTACTTGGCAGTGGGAAATGAAGTCACAGACGACCAAACTGGGTGCCGTTGGTCTGTCTCGCCTTCCGGGCTGGGGTCCAGGTGACTCGCCTTGTGCTTGACTCGAGACTTTACAGGACAGTGTCTCGTGTGCTACCGTCATCTAATCGGATTGCCTGTTTAAAGTATGTTTGGTGCTGTTATCTGCGGGGTAATGGCTGATTATGACGCGAAGCAGTGAAAGCCGCAAGAAGCTGTCTCGCCGATGCCACCTTATCTTTGCACGATAGCCAGCTGTTTGTGACGGTATGTTGTTAACACAAGGTGTAGGCGCCTTGACCCTGCATGTATGTTTGCAAGGAAGTCCCCTTCTCTCCCTCTTATTCTTTATTTCATAGGTCCTCATGGTTGTATGGCAGCGAAGCATCAGTTCAAATGGTTGATAGACTGCTGTTGGTGACGATGATGATGTGCCGCTGTATCCGGCTTGGTGACCATTCTCAAAAATTGCATGCACAGTTACTACCAAATCAGCTTTTCTTTGTATTTCGACTGGCTTGCTATTCCTCACTGTTTAAACACTTAGTGGCATAACAGTTTTCGGTATGACACGTAATGACGGCCGAGCCAGCATGCCTGGTATTAGGTTCTTTTGTGCGTCTACGTGTCTGATTATGAAAGTATGCTCTTGGAGTTGATATACCAACTGTGCAATGCGTCCTAGCAGATCTTTTGTTGTAATCAAGTGTGAGAGCGGTTTTTGTCCGCTATTACATGGAATTGATTCGCCAAGAGGTATATTCACCACTTTTCCAACTCCCACAAAATATCAAGACCTACCCTTACCGTGGTGGTGTAGTTGTACTATGCACCCATCAGCACGTCACTGCCATATTGCGCTACACAACGATTGGGACAACGTCGCGTGGTTGCACAGCAGCCTACAAATACTGTCACCGTAATCATTTCATTCCGACTGGCTGCTTGTAAAGGCTTTGGGGATTCTGCTACGCATGTTTATAGATGATTGATATCCTTTGCTGCTGATATTTGTGCGGTAGCTTCAATATTAGGCTGACGTTCTCTGCAGAGTTAGGGACGAATTTCCAATCGTAAACTACTACTCCCAGGAAGAAACGAAGGTAACGTTTGGACTTGTAGATTTCGAAATTCTGACGCTATCAACAAACGTACATATCTAGACTTGGTTAGATGCGGTGGCGCTGAAAGATAGGATCAATATGTGCACAAAGCACATGCCCATACATGGTGGTGAAAAGGTTGGGCGTATATGCTACTTGTTCGCTAATATAATAACACTCAGCAGATCGATGAACTTTACAATGTCTTTTACAGCACATGGCAGTTTTATAACAGCAATATTCAGGCGCTGTGACATATTTGCATGTTTTGACACGTATATTGTGGAAGAAATTTGCCGCGCCAAGCTAGCCGCCCTCACCGTGATTTTCATCTGGACTTCTTCAGGCGATCTTGGTGCTCCACGATATTATTCGCGGCAATGCAGAGCGCAAAGACACTATATGCATAGTTTTTATTGTGAAGCAGGATCGATCTCTTGAGGAACTGAACTACATACCCTATGGACAGTTTCACTGAATTCAGTGGTTCATTGACTGGACAGGACAAGACCGGATCCAGGCACGAAATAAGCTTTCGCGTAATCAGCGTTCCGTTTCGTGTGTCAGTAAGCGAGAAGAGCTGTTAGTTCCTTGAGGTGAGAATAGATTTTTGCGGGTACACCAGAAAAAAGAAAGAAAAGAATGAAGAAGAATGAAGTAGGAGCAAAAGGTCACTGCATTTTCATGTACTTGCGTAGGCTACTTGCAAGTGGTTAGAGGCTGTAATCAGTATTCACAAGAAATCGGGGAACAGGATCCACCACATTTCCTTTAGGCCTCGTTTGGAATCTACCGTTTTCCATTCCAATAGTGCAGGAGGAAGTTCGTTCCAACTAGGCACTGCACGATTTGACAGGAATTTAGCTCTAATATCGAGCCTAGATCGTTGCTGTTTTAACTTTAGTCTATGGCCCCGCGAGTGGTCCGATGAAGCTGGTTTAAAAAGATCGGTTGGCCTGAGGCCGCTGAGAATCTTCATAATCTTTAATGTCTCTATTAAGTCCCCTCTCAATCTGCGTCTCCTCATTGAGTGCGATCTTAAGTTGCCTAATCGAACCTCATAAGCTAATCCCCGCTGGCCTTCTGTCATTCGAGTGGCCTGTCTTTGCGCATTCTCAATACAATTTACGTCCTTTTGCAAGCAAGGCGCCCAGGCCTGAACACCGTGTTCCGAATGTGGTCTGACCACTGCTTTATACAAGAAGAGAAGGACACCTGGTATGCTACAACTCAAGGCTCTCTTAACTCGAAATAACCCCAGTTGTGTCTTATTAGGAGCATGCTTGCCTTGCGCCGGCGGCTTGAGCGTATTCCACACGAGGATGTCAAGATCACGGGCTTCACTCGCACATTTCATTGTCAGGGACCCAACGGATGCTTGCAGTACCACATTTTCGCCACTCTGAGTCAATATTTGGCATCTGCTGGCGTTTAATGGCAAATCTCATGAGCGTGACCATTTAACAACAGTAGCCAAATCTTTAGGTAGAGTAACGCTGTCAACCTTGCTAACAAATTTGAAGTCATCAGCAAAAATATAGGAGGACTCCTGAAGTAAAGGAGCCAAGTCATTTGCGAACATAAGGCAGTAGCGGACCCGGTACTGAAACCTAGGGGACTTTAGTGAATTATGTGTGCTCGAAATACCGTTTCCAACCCTAACACGTAACGTCCTACCGCAGAGGAACGCGGAGAGCCAAGAAAGTAGTTGTGTGCGTAATCCAAACCAGGCCATCTTTTTCAGAAGAATGTAGTGATTTACCGAGTCAAACGCTTTACTGAAGTTAAGATAACATATTTCTACCGTAATCACTTCATCAAGACAACGGGTTATTTCGTCAAGGCAACACAGTAGGTTTGTGAGGCATGACTTTTTCCTGCTCCTCAGCTCTTATCAAGTTATGGGCAATGAAATGCTCACAGATTCAATAATGAGCTTTTTCAGACACTTCAAATGTACGCTGGTCAAACTAACGGGCCTGTAATTATTCGAAGATGATTTAGGATACTCTTTATGAATGACCACTACAACTGCCTCCTTGCAATCCTGTGGTAATCTTTCTTCACAAAGAGACCCATTGTAAAGATCAAGGGCTGGACGCTGGAGAATATCGGCATTTGGTTTTACAATGACTGGATGCACATTATCAGAGCTAGGGGATTTGTAGGCGTTTAAATCCTTCAGAATATAGGGGACACCCGATGCGGTAAGTTTGATTTCCCCATTTCCCCTCGCTTACTCTATGGGGCTGCGAAGAGATGTAATATCG